CTAAGCCCAAATCTTCAAGATTTGGACACAGGTGAGTATCTCTCTGCCTCCTGCAATACTCAGAATGAAACTCTACCCCAAGCTGGAAGGTGGTAAGACACCAAGACTCACCCTAAAATAAGCAGGCGAGAAAGAGGCCTTTCCCAAGCCTCAAAGTACACTCTGTCCTGTGTAGCCTGTTTGTGTTCATGTGTGTACAAATGGGGGTAGGGGACAGTGTGGTGACAGAAAAGTTTCTGAGAGCCAAGAACCCAGCAGAGTCCTAGTCCTAGCAAGTGCTTTGTCTTCCATTAGCACAAACCACAGCAAAGGTCTAGCTGACAGTCATCATAAAAGCCAGAGAAACTGGCTCACAAACAAGTGCTCTCCTGGAACCCTGGCTACCTTTGCTTGCTCTTTGGTGGCCCAGGTAACCACCTTTAGATCAGACTCTTACCTTTTGAACAAATGAAGGTTGTCTCCTCAAAGCACAACAGGATAAGAAGGGGCCTCTGGGGCTCAAGCAGTTCAGAACTAATTCTCTGACCACTTGAGGGAACTGCACTGACCATACCATGTCCCAGCTAAGCCCCCAGCCAGCCCTGCCTCCTTCAACCAGTCCAGTCCTTCCCCCACCCCACCTCTTCAGATTGCCTCTGCCACAGCCAGTCAAGTCATGTTGAGCTGCTGCCAAATCTCAGCAGAGATAAACATTCCGGGAAAAGAATCACAAGGCTGCTGCTCCTCCCAACACAGGCAAATACACAGGTGGCCAGAAAAGGAGGCCTCACTGCCAGAGTCAGTAGAGTAGATCTTGGTTGCCGTCTAAGGGCCTGGGGCAGGGGTAGATAAGGAGGCCTACCCCACCTGGGTGAACTCCCTGAGGCGCGCAGGGGGGGGGGGGGGGGACGGACGACCCACTTCCTCCTAGGGACCTCACACTAAGGGCCCCAAACATTACCATCCGCCCCAAACATTACCATCCGCCCCAAGTCACCACAGATGGTGTATACCGACGTGGGATTCTAACTCAAGTCTTTTGGAAGTCTCTTCCAATGCTCTGACAACCCTTGCTTGGACAAATCAAACAGTGACCCATCTGTAACCCAGTCTGGTGTTTTACACCTTAAACCCCACCAGCTATCAGCCGGGAGGGGTCAAAGCAAAGCATCTGGCCCAGACCTCTGGACACCAGAAAGTAGAGCAAAGCCAGGGAAAGGAACTACAAGTAGTGAAAAGGCCACCACTCTAAACCCCAAGGATGCTTTCGCCCACCAACCTCAAAACCACTACACAGGGCTTTGGCTGACACCTGTCCAGTTGAACAGATGGGTTCAACTCCCCCAACCCACACACTCCCAGGCAGACTTTCAGCTTTCTCAAGACCCCTTCTGCCCAGGAACCTCTACTCTAAGAGTTGCACCCAACCACTCAAACCTAAGGGCTCAACTAAAATGAACAAAAGACCTCTCTCTACCTTTCTCTGGCTGCCATCTCAGCAGCAGCCTTAAACGTCACAGTTTCATGTAAGTCACATTGAAAGCAGAAAAGCCAAAGAAGGTCTCGGGCCTATTTACATGCCCTCTCAAATGTTATCCCTCAAGGAGTCCTTTCCAGCAGACAATTTCAGAATCAATTTAGCAACACCATGAGCTGGTGACAAGTTGGTCACTAGTAGCACCACATTATAAAACATAGCAGAGGGCCAGGGATTTAGCTCAGTGGTTCTGATGCTTGCCTTGCAAGTGCAAGGTCCCAAATTCGATCCCCGGTACTAAAAAAAACCAAAAAAAACCACAGAGCTATGGTTACCACTATGTCTCTCATACTTTATTGAGAAGATTCTATGCTCCAAACACCAATCTAATGAACTCTGGGGCACTTTAATTTGTGAATTAATTTCTCTTTCTTGCTACACATACGTAAGCAACAGTCAAAAACAAAAGCAAAAAACTTGGCCTCTTTGTGGTCTGGAAACTCTCTCTTCCTCCTCTCTACTACTCACAGGCATTTCCACGAGAGTCTGAAAAAATGGAACTTTAAGGCCTTCAATAAATCATATTACCTGCCAGGGATTTAGCTCAGTGGTTCTGCTGCCTGCCTCACAAGTGCAAAGTCCGGAGTTCGATCCCCAGTACAAAAAAAAATCATATTACTATATTATTAATATTAGCTGTCATCTACTGAGTGCCTATTACCCTTGGTGCCATGTATTTAATGTTCACAATCTCAATTAGTCCTAAAAATAACTCTCAAGCCGGGGATTTAGCTCAGTGGTTCTGCCGCCTGCCTCGAAAGCGCAAGGTCCCAAGTTTGATCCCCAGTACCAAAAAAATAATAATAATAACTCCGTAAGGTAAGAATCCACTTTACACATAAGAAACTCTTAAAAAACCATAACATGCCTGAAGTCAGATGCCTAGCAGTAGGGCAAATATTCGATTTCTTTATATAACAGACTGTTTTCCATACTAACCACCAAGTCTGAAAGATTTCAATTTTTTGCTTTAATAAAGTCCTCCTCATTACTACACTTCATGTCTGACCAATTCTGGGAGGTTTCCCCAAATTTTATATGAAAATATTGAAGTAATTATTGGAGAAGTTGAGCAAGAGCATGTAGGAAGGCTTGCTCTGCCAGGGTTCTTTGGAAAGTGACAGAGCAATTGGCAGCATGTCTGCCTGCTGGCCTACCAGGGCCCCCTCACTCAGAACAAAGTTCTCTAAAACCTGGCATTAGAAATGAGCAGCCACCTGTCTGGTTACCCTGGAAGCAACCTGTGGCTACCTGTGGCCTGCCTGCTCAGGTCAAGAAGTCCCCGTTGGGCTCAGCCTCCTCCTGACCTAGGAATGTAAACCCACCCACCCAAGCTTCCTTCCTATGCCAAAACAGGCTGAAGGCCAGGGTTCAGATCATCTGGGCAAGTAGTGCAGGGATGAGGCAACGCCAGGCTGACTGGTTACATTTTATCCCTCCAGCCCCCAGAGTACCCAAGTCCAGTCAGAGCGGGCCCTTCTCACTTAGGTTTGGAGAAATTACAAGAGGAGGAAGCTGAGGGGTGGGGGGCAGGGATCTAGCTACACAGAGGAAATGAACACAACACTAACAACTTACTGAGAACTTAACCTCATTAATTAAACCTTTTTTACAAAACCTTTGTTTTGCTTACTCTTCGAAAACAACCCTCTAATAGATATCATTATCTTCACTTACCAGAAAAGAAATGGAAGTTTAGCAAGAAGGCGTTTTCCCAGAGGCTCAAGAGAAAAGTTAACCCCACTCGAGAGAGTGGCACTGTGAGAAAACATGTGGACAGATCAATCCCCTTCCCCAATGGAGCCTCTGACAGTCCCCGAAAGGGCAGCGGCAGCGGCTGACTGAGCTGCCTTAAGTTTCCTACCAGTGTTAACAAGGCAAGAGTGCTCCAGGTCCTAACCAGACCCAAACTCCACAACTTCCTGGGCCAGAACAGGGAGGTCTACAAGGCCTTCTCTGGTTCCTGGGCCCAGAGGGGACCAGCTGGCTTCCTTCTCGAGGATACCAAGAGGACACCACCCAAGCTCTCTGGCCACCCGGCGCGGAGCCTGAGCCCCTCTTTGGGATTTAGCTCTCTGATCCCGCGGGGGGGGGGGGGTCGGTCGGTCCAGGAAACCCTCGCCCGGTAAGGACGGGGGAGTCCCCGTCCTCGAAGAGGCGCCAGGCAGAGTCCTTACCAAGAAGAGGGGACTCCTCAGGACAAGAGGGCAGCGACAGTGCTTTGGTTGGGGACACTGGGACCAAAGTCAAGTTGCTCGCGGGGCCGGCGTCCGAATCTGCACCAGGACTGGAGTCGCGACCCGGGCGAGGCTGAGTGGAGGTGGCCGAAGGAGGCGGCAGCCGGGCCCCTCCGGGCCGGGGCTCCCCGGTGGGCTGCCCGCTGGCGGCGGCGCTCGAGCCGCCCTGAACTGGCGTGGGGACTCCGACCAGCCGGGGCAGGCGGCTCAGGTCGCGGCCGGCCAGGTAGTAGACGAGGGTGACGCCGAGGTGCAGCGCGCAGACGGCCACGAGCAGGCGGCAGGCCCGCTGCAGGGAGGCGCCGGGCATCGCGGCGCTGCCGCCCAGAAGCGGCTCCCGAAACCTCATCTTCCCGCTGCGGCTTTAAGAGGGAGGTGGGCTACAGGCGGGGAGGACGGCCCGCCCGCGGGCCGCCAGCCAGAAGCGGCCGGGCCACGGCGGCGGGGGGAGGGGCCGGGGGGCGAGGGCGCGGGGCGGTGGCGGAGAGCAGAGAGTCTCAGCCGCCGGACCGGGCAGCCGGGAGCGCCGAGAAGAGCGCCGGAGGCGCGGGCAGGCGGGGCGGCCGGTGGGGGCGGGGCGGCCGGTGGGGGCGGGGCCGCCGGCGGGCTTTTTCTGGAAGCGAAGGGAAGGGCGTGGCCTCCAGGGCGCGGGATCAGTGGGCGTGGCCTCTTGGGGCGGAGCCTCGGGAGAGTGGGCTGCGGGGGAGGAGGCCCTGATGGGGCTTCGCTCGAGGTCCCCAGTCTGACTCCCCTGCGGAGCCACCCACCTACCTCGGTGCTCGTCCTGATACTTCGCCTGGAGACTAAGTCCCCGCCAAGACGCGCCTCCTGCTCCAACCGGCTGCCCTCCAGAGGCCCCGCCACTTCCTGGGCGATCTCAGTACTGGGCGGGGGCCTGGGACTGCAGCGCCGCAGGGAAGAAGCAGGGAGGCCTGCCGAACCTGACCTGCAAGGGGGCGACCTCGAGAGCCTCCAGCGAGTGGGCTTCGGCGGTTGGCCGTTGAGGGTGAGAAACCAGGGCCGAGAAAACTTGCCCAGAAAACAGGCTTCGAGGCCAGAGAAGGTTGGGACTATGTGGTGGGAGGAACACCATGGGCTGTTGGAAATCCTTCCTCTTGGCCTGGCTGGGTCCAGTTGACCAAGTGAGGGTCCTGTGAGGAAGAAAAGCGGACGAGTTGCTGTTGTGGCAAAGCGGAACAGCTCTGTTACCGCTCAAGTGCTACCGCTCAACTGACCGCTTGAGAATCTGAAAGTTACCTGAAGAGATGGAGAAAAACCTTTATTGCTGGCTGGCTCAGAGGAGTTTACCCACTCTGAATTCCAAGCGGGAGTTGCAGTAGGAGTCAGCTTGTTATGTACAGTCCTGGGGTAGTGGGGTTGGTCCTACGTGCTGGGCAAGCGTGCACACAGAAGAGATTGCAGAATTTCGGAACATTCCTGAGACAGGTACCAGGGAGCATGCTCCCAGAAGCAGAGGGGCGGAATTAACAACACTCCTGAAACATCTTATAGAAACCTCACAGAGCTCAAACAGTTACAAAACATTTTGATACATTGGGCCGGGAGCGCCATGCAACACAAACTGTTAACGTTTCTGAAACAAAACATTATGGGAAAAAAAACCATGAGGGGCAAAGCTTGTCCTTTGCATTATTGCTCTCCATCATTGCCATTTTTTCCCCTCAGTAGCAGAGGCCAACCTGGCTGGATTCTGAGATTTTGAGTGTAGGGGTTACACTTGCTGGCAGGTCGGGTGGGGCGGTGGCCAGAAACATCAGTCAGTAACATCAGTAACTCCCACGTCCTCATCCTCATATTGTAGGAGAGAGACCTGCCTTACAATCCACACTGGGCTGGAACACAATCCCCTGAAGCAGGGACCTTATTTTACCGATGAAGAGTTCAGGGCACAGGCCAGGATTTTAGCTCAGAAGTTCAGGGCACAAGAAGTTAAGAAACATGCCTGAGATTTCACGGTTGCAAAGAGGCAGAAGTCTGGCTCTGAAACCCCTATTTACCACACACGCATTTATCTTTTGATTCACAAATAAAGAGGAGACTATGTTGGTAACAGACTTAAGCAAGCACTAAAGCCACTGAAACTAGGTTTGCCCCCAAAGCAGCTGGCTCTGGCAGCCAACTCTGAGAATGTTAACTCTAGCTACTCTATTTTGAGAGTTTATTATATGCCAGTATATGCCCTGAAATAGGCTTTGTTACTGTCTCCATTTCACAGAGAAGAAAACAGGCCCAGGAATTGACATTTGGTTGTCATCATACAGAATTGATATTCTTTACCTTCCAAATAGCAGCTCCTCCCGATAGTCCTCATTTTACTGGTACTCCTCTGCCTCCTTTTAGAACTTCGCCTCCTCCTCAGTTGTTGGGAAAGGCCCCAGGCCATGCTCCATGGTGCTCTTTTTCTGTCTACACTCACTCCCTAAGGATGCCTTATAATATCTATAGGCTAAAGTCTCCAGTTTCTTTCTCCAACTCAGACCCCTTCCTTGACGTACACACTTGGATACCAGTATTTCAAATTCAATACATCCTATCCCCAGCAACCCAATCCCTACAACTCTGCTCTGGTCTTAGCTCATTCAGAGAGTGACGCCATGTCTGTCCAGTTCTGCAAGTCCAAAATTTAAAAAGTGTCCTTGATGAACCTCATTCCTAAAAGCCATTTTTTATCCCTTTCACAAGTCTTGTCAGTATACCTTCAAAATACCAGAATTGTAGAGTACTTACCTGGCATGTACAAGGCCCTATGTTCAAACCCCAGCACCACACATACACACACACACACATTCACCACTTGCTAACTCCACTGTAATCATTGTGAACCAAGTCACTGTCATCTTGGCCTGGATGACATGGTTGCTTAATTGGTCACCCTGTTCTCACCTGTCCTGTGCCCCCACCCGAGTCTTCCCCTTGCCCAGGGCCTTAGAGGTACTTACTATTAACTTAACCTGAAACACTTTTCCCCCATGTTTCATTCAGCTTCCTCAAATGTCACCTTATGAGAAACATGTCAGGCATGTTGGTACACACTTGTAATCTCAGCACTTTAGGAGGCTGAGGCAAGAGAATCCCAAGTTCAAGCCTAGCCTGGGCAGTTTAGCAACACCCTGTCTCAAATTTTTTAAATATTAAAAAGTAGTAGGGCTGAGGATTTAGCTCTGCCTCGAAATCACAAGGACCTGAATTCGATCCCTGGTAACAGAAACAACAAGAAAAGTGCTGGGGGCCAGGGATTTAGCTTAGTGGTGCTGCACCTTGCAGGCACAAGGTCCTGAGTTCGATCCCCTGTACCAGAAAAAAAGAAGTGCTGGAGATGTAGCTTAATAGAAAGGCCCTGGATTCTGTCCCCAGTAGTGCAGAGAGGAGAGAGAGCCGTCAAAGGACCCTGTGTAGAATAGTCTCCTGCCTGAAGCTGCATGTACTCACTTGGTTTCATTTTTTTTCAAAGCAGGTATCACAAGCCAACATTATGCATTTATTTTATTGTCTTATCTCTCTCATTAGAATACCAGCTCTAACAAGATGTGGGGTTTTTTTTATAAAATGGAGTACTACTCAGCTATAAAGAACTACAAACTTGAGACATTTATAGCTAAATAGATGCACATTGAGGCTGTACTCTTAAGTGAAATAAATAGGACACCCATGTGTAAATACCAAATAGTTTCTCTGGTGTGAAAAACTAAAAGTGTAAATAAGGATCAAAATGTATAATTGATATTGTGAAATAGGAATAAAAGGTCTAAAGGGGTAGGGGAAGTGGGAGGGGTAGGGGAAAGGAAAGAAGGGAAAAGAAAAAATATGAGAAAAGGAAAAAATGGAAACCAAGTCTTTGTAAATAGGGAGGGGTGGAGGGGTTGGAGGGAGGGCAGGGGAATGGGGAAAAAATCAGAACCAAGATACATCATGTAAAGGTATAAGTTCCCAATGATGAATGTAACTGTATTATATACCTAAAATGTACCAATGAACTTAATGAAAAAGAAAAAAGACCAACTCTATATGGGCAGGAACTTTGTCTTGCTCACTAGAAATGAGCCTGGTTCATTCTTGACACTAATAAATATTTGTTAAAATAGTAAGTAAATACATATGTTTTGGGGGGGTTGTTTGGTTGGTATTTTTGGTTTTCTATGGGGCTCAGGATCAAACCCAAGGGCTTGCACATGCTAGCCAAGTGTTCTACCACTGAACTCCATCCCCATGATCATCTTGGTAGAGGAAGCGGAGTTATTTTAGGACACAAAAATCAAGAGTTGTTTTTTTTTCCCCAAGGAGTTCGTAAAGGTAAAGCAGACTCCAATAGTTTATGCCTTGTTGTGGTCAAGGTTTGCAAGGGAATAGCTTTAATATAGGACACATCATTTATAGGATTATTTTATGATAATCGCCCCAAAAGTCAAATGCAGAGAAGTACAAGAGATCTAACTGCACACTAGAGACCCAAAGAATCCACCCAAAGGCCTGGATTCCACACCAATGTCCCACATTAGTCCAGCTGAAGATTTAAAAAGTCCAAAGCAATGTCCTCCATGAGTCCAGCCAGTGGCCTAGAGTCCACGGCAATTTCTCATGCTTGTCCATATTGAGAATCTGCATTCGGAGGACCCAAAAGCCAATGGTGGAAGCCAAAAAACCTCCACTGGTGGGGTGAACAATTTATGCCACCAGGCTGAGGGATCAACCCTGGAGCTGGAAAATGATGCTCTTGGTGAAAATTAGAGCTCCCCTGAAGAGAATAGCAGCCATTCCCAGTGACAGCAAAGACCCGAGTTCCTCCGACTACAAGAACAGCCAACTTCACATCAGGAAAGCCAACTGCAGCAAGCTTCTAGAAAATCAACAGCCAATGATCTTCCCTTCTAGTTCTCTTTTTATACTGTTGGCAACAATCTGGGGGTCTTCAACACCCAGTCTATGGTGATTGAGTTCAGCCGGGCATTCCAAGTTGACCATTAGTTAATCTACCACATGCCTGTGTGAAAATTCTGTCTGGCCAGAATTCCCTTAGTGAGCAAGAATAAGCCAGATTGGTACCCATCTGAAAGATGAGGGGAGGGGAAAATGGAGATATATCTTCATACATACAAATGATGGAGACAAGATTGAGGGAAGGTTAGAGTCCTAGACCTGTACCAGATTCCTCTGTGGTCAGAAATCAAGGAAAAAGAACACCACTTGTTAATTCTGTATCCTTGAGGCAGATTGAGTCTACCAAGACCTGAGCACCAGCCTTACCAGCCCCTGACTCAGAGGTACCTAGAACCTGTTAATTTCCTGCTTGAGAAGGGTCCAGAAACCTTCAGGACATTACCCAGCTTCCAAACCTGAATTGGTACTAAAGAAAGAAAGAGAGCCAGACCACCCCCATTGTCTCCATCTCTTGCCACTCTCTATCTTGCCAAATGGAAGGTTAATTCCATCAGATGAGCTAT